ACACCCACACCTTTTCACCATTAATAGCTCTTTATTATTTTCCATGGACCCATTTCACATTTCTGGGGCTCTCAGAAAAAAACAAAAAACAAAAAGAACAAAACACTTAGCGTTTCTATGACTTTGAAAAACATTGATAGATTGATTTGTTGGTCAGAAAAGACAAATAAGTCACATTCACACAGTGACTAGTTTCTGTAACTTAATGCCAGTGTAATATAACACATAGTGTTATAAATGTACATTTATTATTATTATTATTATTATTATTAATATTTAAAATAAATGTTAAAAACCTGTTAGATTTACAATGTTAATACCTGTGGAAACACATCATCACAGTTCATTGCCCAACGAAGCCTCCCATATTGATAAAGTGTACAGCTTGAAGGCAAAATAAGTTGATTTGGTTAAAGCTGTCTGTCAAATGTATCAGTCAGTGTTATATATGGACACAATTTATGCAAAACAGAAGTTTGATCTGAATTTTAGTATAAAGAATACTTTGTGTTCCATAAACTAAATTAATGAGTACCACTGAATACAGCACACACAGTATTAATTTGTGTGTGTGCAGAAAAAAATTGGAGAAAAAAACCCCACATTTTTTTCAATCATTATAGTGGCGATATAAATGTTTATATGATGAATTTGATGAACCACGATAAAAAAAAAAATCTTTATCATGTAAAAATACAACATTAATTCACTAAAATTGACTTCCCACAAGCCAGCCAAGCCTGGTTAAACTGTTTTTCTCTAGATATCTGTTTCCCGTCTTTATTGACTTGCATGTTGATGTCCTCAGGTGCCATGTTCTCCTTCTCAGCCTCAGTGGAAGCGACCTGCATCCTTATTGCTGCTATGATCTTTAACGGGCTGTACCCCCTGACCCTGCCAACCTTCTCCGGGATGCCCTTCATCATCATGGCAGTCTTCACGCTCATCGTGCTCATTCTCTTGCAGTAAGTGAATCATTCTTTTATATGGAAACTGAATATAGTGAATGCAACACAACTTGTTTTTGATGCTTATGCCTACCAAGGCTGCATTTATTTGATCAAATAATACAATAAAAACAGTAATATTGTGAAATAGTATTACAATTTCTAATATCTGTTTTCTATTTGAATATATTTTACATTGTAATTTATTCCTGTAATGGCAAAGATGAATTTTCAGAAACAATTACTCCAGTCCTCAGTGTCATTTCTTATTATTATCAATGTTGAAAACAGATGTGCTGCTTAATATTTTTGTGGAGAGCATGACACTTTTCTTTCTTTGATGAAAAGAAAGAAATGACAAAATAGAAACAAATTCTTACCCCAGATTTTGTATTGAATGTTTAAAATGTTTAATATTGAATGCATCCAACTTGCTAACTATTCTTGAACAAAAAAGGTTGTGGCTGTTGCCATATCTAACATGAAATAGTTCTAAACTGCATAACGGTTTCAGAATAATGAGGTGTGACTAGTCTAATTTATGTTGGAAAACAAAACAGGACTCCCCAGGTAATGTTATCCGCAGACCTTATTTTACTCATAAATTGAAAACTATTGCTCTAAAAGCCCATTAGAAATTCCAGAGAGAAGCCATGGCTCAAAAATGCTAATTCTCTTCTGGGTATTAGGGCTACAAACTGAACACCTCTATTCAGTTTATTTGTATAGAGTTTTTCACAATACTTATTGTTCAAAAAGCAGCTTTACAAAGAATAGTGCCTTAAACCCCCAATGAGCAAGCCAACTCGACATTGGCAAGCAAAAACTCCCTAAGATATTTAAATAGATGAGGAAGAACCTTTGGAAGGAACCAAGGCACAGTTGGGGAAGTTCTCCTTCTCAGGCTGGCACATAATAAAAAACAAACATAAATGTGTACATATATGCATGCTTTAATTTGAGCATCTAATTATATTCATTATTGGCTTATCTGTTTTTCAATTAAATGTCATGATCAGTGTTCTATTTTTCTCTTCCACAATTCACAATAGTGCTTCAGATATACAGTGTGATTGTTGGCATGGCAACTCTTTTTGTCAAATGGGGTCACAGTTATTATCTAATTTTAATGTTAATTGCTTGCTTAGTGACTTGGATAATTGCATTAAATATTCGTTCTGAGGTAATACCAAATGGAGCCATAGTTTAATTGGAAATATAGAAAACTAATGTTTATTTTAATAGGTGGTTACTAATATACTAACATAAACAGACTGAACTGCATTGTCTTTCAAAAATATTTGAGTAACCTTCATACCCACTGAGGGTTGTCATGTGGAGGCATCCAGGTACATTGTCCCAGGCCTTGTGATGAAGATGGGCCATTATGATCCTCTATGGTTTAATATATCCCAGTGTTTTTTTTTTCTCGAAATAGCGTTTTGCTTCGAGATCCAGATTTTACATTGGAAATCAGTTGTCGAATCAACATGGTAGCATTAGCATACAAAATAATTTAATTTTCCAGGTAACTAATGTGATCTTTTAATGCAAAGCTCTTGTCAATGCTGTATGCTACTTACGAACCACATATATAACAGGTCTAAAATGTGTTTTACTTTGAAGTATGTCTGCATCTCCATTGGTTTTGATTTTTATATTTGGAGAAGATGAGCATGACAAATTGTGTGCTAATAGCATAACATAAGTACTTAAATTTGTCATGTGCAGAAATACAGAAGATGGCAAATTAGATATTGATCCATCTCTTGCATATTCTTCAGCATTTACTGAGAGAGGGATCTTAATACATTTCTTCTCTTCTCCACATGTACCTGTGATGTGAGCACTCTAAACACGTCTAAACTCAATCTAGGCACTAAGGTCTAGTTTCAAATAGTATATTAATGTTTTCAAAAAAATGTTCTTTAAAGTTCTTTAAGAGTTCTTTAAAGGTCAGTCATTATCATTTGGTAACGTCAGTATTGTAGTAAGGGGGAAGTCGTGGCCTAATAGTTAGAGCGTCGGACTCGTAACCCAAAGGTTCGAGTCTCGTACCGGCAGGGATTGTAGATGGGGGGAGTGAATGTACAGCGCTCTCTCCCACCTCGACTGAGGTGCCCTTGAGCAAGGCACCGAACCCCCAACTGCTCCCCAGGCGCCGCAGCAAAAAAATGGCTGCCCACTGCTCCGGGTGTGTGTTCACTGCTGTGTGGATGCACTTTGGATGGGTTAAATGCAGAGCACTAATTCCAAGTATGGGTCACCATACTTGGCCACATGTCACTTCACTATCAACTTAATAATAACACACTTCACTTTTAAGGGAGGTCGGTGTGGCTACACTGGGGTTTGTGCTGGTTTAAGGGCCTCAGACTGTAGAATTAATGTTTGTTTGTTAATCAAATATGTTATCCTAACAGAAAAGAGCACTGTTTTACAATAATGTGCATTGCAATAATGTGATGGTGGTGATGGCTTTTGATAAATGCTATTTATATAATGGTCTTCCCATTTGCTATTAAATGGAGAGACGTGCAACTTCTACCAAAACACATTATTATGTCTGACTCAACCTGCCTACATTATGTGACATTAGAGCATGGTGCTAGCAACACCAAGCTCATGGGCCCAATTTCCAGGGAATGCATGAATCGATACAGTTTATACCTTTAATGCAAATATGAGTTACTTTGGATGTAAATATCAGCAAAATGTATACATGTAATTGTTACGTCAACATGTATGTTGTTAAGTCAATAGTATCCAGTATTGTTTAGACTTTCAGAATATCTTCTAATGTGTTTCCAAAATAAAGGTTTGCAATGACACAAGGCTGTGTATATTACCAGTCAAAAGGTTTGGGGTCAGTATTTATTTATTTGAAAATAATTAATACTTTCAGCAAGGATACATTAAACTGACAATGAATGTAAAGATTTCTATTTCAAACAAATGCTGTTCTTTTGAACTTTCTATTCATCAAGGAGTCTTAAAATCGTATCAGGTTTTAAACAAAAATATTAAGGAGCACAACCAGTTTCAACATTGATAAAAATATGAAATGTTTCTCGAGCACCAAATCAGCATATTACAATGATTTCTGAAGGATCATATGACACTTAAGACTGAAGTAATCTCTGCTGAAAATTCTACCATCTTTTTTTACCATCATGAACTGCCTTTTTTTACCATCATGAACTGCCTTTTTTATTACTTTGTACTGTTCTCTGAGGTCCACTTATGATGTTATCAAGATTTTTACATGAAAAAAACAAACAAACAATATTTTAGCAGTAATAGGCTATTTTCTGTCCTGTTCTGATCCCCTCTCATCAGAATGCTCTTTTTGAATAGGCGTGGCAGATTGTAGATTCCGCTCCACTATGATTGGCTAACAGCTGTGTATGTTTGACAGCTACTTCCTATACAGATAGACGCTGCTGTGATTTAGGTCAAAAACGCATAAATACTCAGTTCATATCAAACAATCTGTAATAACATTAACGTATAATAACGTAATAAAAACAGTTACTCACACTTGTGTGGTGCGACATTACTGTCGGATCCAATATAGTCGCACACAATCGTCTTTTAATTTCAGTCTTTCAGAAAATCCGGCGTCGAATTGTGCCTTGTTTGTAAACGAATCTGTGGTGAAAAAAGTGAACAAACGACCAACCTTTTACTGACGCGGTCTGGAACTTCATTAAAAATAAAGCTAATCCACTCTTTCCTAATGTTGGGATCCGATGGAAGGTTATGCAAAGCACTGCACAGCGTCTTGTTATCTTTGGAGCATCTTTATCATTTGGTTTCTATGTAGACCTGTGTTCATCTCTTTCGTTATTTACACTAAGTGCGTGAATCGGTGGGCAGGGCTAAACAGGCAGTGATGTAGAAGCAGGCGTTGATCTTCTTCTGCGGAGGCGGGGTTTACCTGCTCTATTACGTCATAGAGCGGCACATTCCACAAGCTGTCATTTTGGCAGCTTCAATATAAGCTGTTTTTAGATTATTGAAAAAGTTTTGAACACTATTACATCATAGAGTAGAATATTCCACAAGCTGATGTTGTGGCAGACTGGCTTCAATATAAGCTGTTTTTAGACTAATGAGAAAGTTTTGAGTTCTGAAACTTACAGGATGTTTTTATAGTATGATGACCTCTTCCCAGCAGGCACACAACGTCATAAGACGCTGATATTTGGTTAAATTTAGGTTGCGACGTCGGGTGACCAAAATTCAATGTTAAGTCAACGTGAAAAGATTTTCATTTTCAACCAAAATGCAACGTCTGTCTGACGTCATGTCCAACGTCAACCTGACGTTACATAGACGTCCGGTGCCTGCTGGGTTATATGTCACAAGCTCAAGGGAATTTTGATTTCTCAGTTCATGACCCCTTTAAAAAATCTTACTGGCCCCAAACTTTTGATAGGTAGTGTAAATTATGACATAATTTTATTTTTGGTGTGAACTCTTCTGGTGTGAACTTTGATCTCTTTAAGCTCCTTCTTATAAACATTTGACTAACTAACTAACTAACTAACTAAATAAATAAACAAACAAACAAACAAACAAACAAATAAATAAATAAATAAATAAACATATTCAGTGACATATTCATTCAGTTTCATCCAAAACCAAAACTATTCTATTGAAATTTGAGATTTAACAGTCTGAATCGAGGCAGTCTGCATTTTATCTCAAGTATCTTTAGTTCATTGAAAGAAGAAGAAAAAAAAAAAACCTGCTATGTGCAATCACAGTAATAGCCCTTTCAAGGGGTTCCCTGAAAAGCTTTGATCTAACTGACACACTTGTCAGGTTGGCCATAACCAGCTCTACTGCCTCCATTATCAGCCTTCAAATTGATTCTGACATGCATTTGATGTTCTTTCTCGGACTATATAATTAAGTGATTGTCTTAGGTAATGAAGGCATTAAGTAATGTACACCTGCAATAAAGCCTGTGTGTGGTGGCTAGTGAAGTGTAGCATGGTTATCACACCCAG